AGGGAGGGGAACAGACAAGTTGCTGTCCTTTTGTTCTTCAGTCTAGTTGTGGAGGACATCGCTTCACTGGCCCATGTTGGTATTTTGATCATTGCGCTCTTCCTGGGTGAGGCAGATCAGTCACTGGCCACTGGACGGCGGCGCACAGCAGCTCATGCCGGCTGCCAGCATCTCATGCTGGCTGCCGGCCACACAGGGTAGCTTATGGCAGCCCACTGCAGCAGGGGCTGCAGCCTACGCCGTCACTGGTGACTCACAGCAGCCCAGCTCCAGGTAGAGGTGTTGTTCACCATCTTAGCAGTAGAGGTCAGTGTCACTGGCCCTCATGTGGGATCCGAACTGGGGCCCTGCTGCTCAGAGCTGGCGTCCCAAGCCAGCTTTTAACCAACGTGCCACTCGGCTAGCCCTGGACCATAATTCTGCTTTAATCTTACTCTCCAGCTATTCTACACCACACATGTAGCTGGATGCAGGCAACACTACTATTAAAAGTTCACTTTTAATTCATGATCACTCACCTCAAGGAGGTACTGATGAATGGATGACAATCACAGAACATTTCTTTAGTCCACGCACTCTGACACTTTCCTGGATAACTAATATTTCATACCTTCCTTCATTTAAAATCCTCTACTACTTCTCCCTTATTCCTAATCTCATTTGATGTCCTTGTTTCCTATGTCACTGAGAAAACAGAAGCAAGCAAAAGAGAACTTGCACAGAGTCCCACCATCACTTCTCCACAACAGTTGTGTCCACTTACTCCACCTTCCATTACTGTGGAAGAGCTGTCTATGCTTCTAGATAGAGGCTACCTCTCCAATGATAAATGACATCCCATCGCCTCTTGCCTACAGCAATTCTCTCACTCTCTTGCATCACTAATCATCCCTAATCTAGAATATCATATTCATCCACATAAACACAAGCTATTTCTTCATTCTTTAAAAGTGAATTAAACAATTCTCTTTCCTGTCCAACAACCACCCCCATTTCTCTCCTTTTTACACCAAACCTCCTTGAAAGAGTTTATACTGGCTACCTCCACTTCCATAGTCCATTTATCTCTGGAACTCACTCCAACAAGGCTTTTGATCGTTCATCAATAAACCTGTTCTTATCAAGGTCACCAATCACCTCCATATAGCTAACTAAATGCAATGGTCACTTCTCAATGTCCACTTTCCTTGAGCTCTCGGTAGTATCTGATGTGGTTGATCGCTCTCTTCCCCTGGCTGCCAGGACACTGCACTCTCTTGCTGTTGTTCCTTGTGTCTTACCGGCTCTTCCCTGTCTCCCTGATCTATATATATTAGGCTGCCTTCTCAGGGTTCAGTCCTTGTACTTTTTCTCTTCTCTTTCGATACTCACTCTCTTGGTGATTTCATTCAGTGCCATTGCTATACAAGCTAAATGCTGATGATGTCCAACCATGTTATTTTCAGACCAGAACGTAAACTTCTACGTCCAACTTCAAACATGGCATTTCCATTTGGAAGTCTAGTGGACATCTCAAACTTAAATATCCCAACTTGAGCTCCTACTATCCTTTCCCAACCCAAACTGACTCCTCTTAAAATCTTTCTCATCTCAATAAACACAACTCCATCCCTCCAGCTAACCCACCTGGAGCGCTCTTTGTCTCTGCTCTCTCACGCCTCATGCCCAGTCTGTCAGCAGATGCTACTGGCTCGGCCCCTTCTTACCTCTCAAACTTTCACTGGGTCCAAACAACCATTTATTACTTAAATTCCTGCAATAACCTTCTAACTAGTATCCCCATGCCCGTGCCCTCCTACTGCCTATTCTCAATATAGTAGCCAGAATAAGCCAGTTCTAACCTGTTTTATCAAGTTATTCCCCTACTCAAAACCCTATAATGGTTTCTTATCTCAGAATAGAAAGCAAAATCTGTTTCTAAAAGAGCCTATTAATACGCATTTCCACCACCCCCACCATCATTATCTGACCTCATTGGATTGGATTCCATTCCATTCCATTCCACCATTCTGCTCCAGTGCCATATCCTGCACTTCCCACCTTGTATCCAGCTACACTGGTCTACTTGTTGTTGTCGGAATATTCCTGACATGCCCCCACCTCAGGGTATTTGTACTTATCATTCCCTCTGGCTAGAGTGTTGTTCCAAATAATTTGAGCTTACTCCCTCACTTCTTTCAAAGTCCTCTTCTCTGACACTCTATAAAATTGCAATCTTTGGCCACTACCACTCTTCATCCTTCTCCTCCTCTGCTTTGTTTTTCTCTTCAGTGCCATCTAACATACTATATGTTACTCTTTGGTGTTGGATAATTCTATCTCTCCCACCAGAAGCTAAGGTTCACGAAGACAGGGGTTTTGTCCACTGCTTTATTCCCAGTTTTGAGAACAGTGCCTACCACTTAGCAGTCTAGCAGGTGTAGGATAAATATCTACTGAATAATTTGAATGAAACACATGATTTAGTCTATATGCAGAAGTGACAGAAATTAAAAGGCACCCAATGTATAAATCAATTTGGAAGGGAGGTATATTCTTGTTATATGTGGATGTTGGAGAAAAGCAAAAGCAACTACATGAGCTATAATCCTTTCTGAATATAGTTCCAAGTAAGTGCACAAAGGATGTCACTTCATAGCCAATTGACTTGAAAATATTGTTTATACAACACCACCTCTTGGGAAAACTTGAAGCATTATTACATAACATATGTCACCTTATGTGGGCATATTAGCATCCTTACATTAATTCTTCAGCAAGACCTAAAATAATATACATATTGATATATATAAATAAACCTTTATCTACCTCTACCTACACTCTCTCCACTTCCATCTCCAACAATTTTCTCATCTTCCAGTTATAGATCCTAGTCCCCAAACGCAATACACAAAGCACAGTCCCCCAACTTTGAATAAATTAACTACGGTTAGTACCTATTCAGACAAGACCACCGGCTTTTAGTCATGTCTTTTATTATTTTTTCATTGAAATATTCTATTTTCTCTTAAAAAGAAATATAGAGATTCCAATGGACGTGTCCTAGTGATACCTATACACAAGGGGTCGTGTATAAACTGCCTCCCACATACTCTTGAATACACTCCCTTTAAATATTAATATCAAAGAGGATGTAACATCTGGCTGAGCAACTGGCTTACATGACAAGCATAAACTATGGGGATTACAGATAGGTTTTCCTCTAAGGGAATTGCAGTAGTCACTACAAGGCTCTGCCTCAGGAGTGGAAAATAAAAAAATGACCACATTTTCTTTTCCCTCAAATTCAGAACATATAAATTCCCACAATGGGACAATTCATGGTCTCTAATCCCATGGTCTCCGAGCATTGAAAAATATTAACAAACTTGATTTTGTGGGAGAGCAAAACTGACATCGACATCAAAAGGTTGCTCAATATGATTTCCCTTAACAACCTCTAAAAAATTAGATGTGAATTCACCTAAACCTTTTCAGACCTGTTTTCACCCAAATATGTGTATTGGAGTCATTATTAAATATCAAGCATATTATGTGGTATAACTATGTGAAATATTAGGACTATAGAACGACTCACATTCTGAAGGGGAACACAACCAATGAATGTATTAAAATGACAAATACAATATGCACAGCAAATTTTAATAACTCATGAAGGAAAATATCAGGATGCTTTGGAAAAATGGGATGGTAATGGGTTCTGCAAACACAGGGATGTGATCGAATTCATTTATTTATTGGGTATCAATAAAATATTCTTTTAGTTCCAACTATGTGCCAGGCACTGTTTATGGTGCAAGTGATACCACAATGAACATGACAAGCAAAAATTCCGAGCCTTACGAAGCTTACACTGTCATGTTTTGAGTAGAATTATTTGAATAAATGGCACTGAAATAAGTTCTGCTGAGATTCTGTGGTTTCCTACTCATACTCTCAATTAGGATCCCCCAAGCAATCACATTATTTAGGGGTACTCAAAAGGAGAAGATTCTCCACCACTCAATTTCTGTTGGTTTTGCATTTAATGAAAAGTAGAGGAGTCAAGTTCGGAAATTTCTTTGAGTGATTCTGGATTTAAACTCCAAATACTGCTAACAGACCTTTCAGATAATGTTTACCAGCCAGCCTATTTCCAAACCCTTATACCTGGTTTTAGTTGAAGGTTATTTCTTAAAACATCTACATTTTGTTCACATCTTGAAAAGTAGGATTTAGGTCAGTAAGACTGCAGTGTCAGAAATGAATCTCAGATCTTTTAAGCAGCAGAGTAACGGAATCTTACATTATGATCAATGATAGCTTATTATTGATTTATCAAAATTGCTACTTGGAGCAACTCATTTCAGCTTACAAGATGATTGACAGAGATACACTGTTCCACACATAACCTTTACAAAAAACCTTAGCATCCCATCACCTGCTCTATATATGCTTTGTGAAAAATTTTACTTCTTCCAACTCAGTGTCATAGGAAAGTCAGTGTGGAAGATGAGCTGTGCATCTATGTACGAACCTGCATGTCCAGTGCCATTAACAGCCTCCTTGTCCTCGTCTTCTTCTTCTTCAGGAAGAGAGCTGTCCATTCTCTCCATCTTGCTGACAGATGTAGTGCGTTTTCTTTGGGATTCTGTGTCAAACTCATGGTCAAAGAGGACCTGATCGACGGGATCGGGCTGGAAAGGGCTGGGTTCCGCTGGAGGCTTGGGGGTCCCATAGAAGTTTCCTGAAGTGAACAGAAATGCAGCAGCTGGAAGTACTAGTGTTGAATCGAGAGTCAAAACAAGGTGCCCTAGTGTATGTCTCTGCCCCGTTATCTTAGGCTGGTTTCTGAATCCCCACCATTGGCCAAAAGGAGGACAAAACACTTCTTGGGAAAGGAGGAGGAAGAAAGAGCAAAAAACCTAATTTGCAAGTGCCCTTCATACACACACACACACACACACACACACACACACACACACGTTATTTATTCCAACAGGGCTTGCTTTGCATGGGTTCTAAAGTAGGGCCTAATTTGTGAATTTAAATGTATTAATGCTCTCATGTAAGGCTGGCATAAAAAGTGAAAGTAAAGGAGAAGAAAACTAAAATAATTTTGTTCTGATATGCAACATAATGAACTATTTTGGTACAATGAGGAAATATGTGAGCAAAGGATAAAGCTAAGAATTAACCAGTCCACATTGAAATGTAGGCTGTTTATGGAAAAGTGATTTTTAAAAGTCTTCCTGAGCATTCTAATTATATTATTGTATCTGGCAATTTGTTGAAAAAATAGACATGATCAGCATAATTCAATACTGGCTTACTCTTAGGAAAGGAAAAAATACTTTAACATGTTAAGTCTTGAGGATCAGTAATTTTTTCAGTAAAAAGAAATATTCCAGAATAGAGTGAAAATTGAGTACCTTCTCAATTTGTCATGTAGCTCTCATTAGGCAGCCAAATACATTGGGAAAGCACTCAATAGGTCCAGCTACATTAATAGTTTGTAATGCCTCCTAGTTTTGGCCTTCTATCAATCACTATGCTAATGTTACAGAAAAATAAATATGGTGAAGGAATAAAATACACATGGTCTTTTTCTTTTTTTAATCACATCTTCTAAGGAGGTAATTAAGATGCTCATTCACATAAGGTAAATTAATGGGGTATATAATGGATGATTTTTCCAAGATGAAAAAAAAAACATGGGTTGTTCACCATAACACTGAGGCAAAGCTACAAATAACAGTTTACCTTAAGTCACGCATGCTTTGAGGGGGAAAATGTTAAGATGAAGTCTTTGGAAATTTGACTTTAGGTGGTATTGTCATTTTAATACTCCAGACAAAACAATGAAATCAAACTAAAAAGTTTTTCAACTACATCTTGCCTCTCACCCACTCAATTATCCCCTTACTTTCAAATCCATGTCTCAAATGGAGTTACTCCTGTCATGGAGATGGCTGCAAAGATTCATACTAACACAGACTAAGAAGGACATCAGCTAACTTTCTGGCCCATAAGGAAAGCAAGGAACCAATGAAAAACCAGTTCACACTTCTCTCGGGCAAAGGGCACAGAAATGCTCCAAATTGAGGTTTGGTTGGGGAAAAAGATGCTCTAGGATCTCATTTTTTCCTGCATTATGTTCGATAATCCCACTACCAAGGAATTTGGATGTGCCATGATGAAAATAAAAAGTCCGCTTTTTCTAAGGATGTTAGTTTCACTAGAAACACATTTTAGTGAGCATTCTCAGTAATTTTTATCTAACTCTAGGAAGTTTAACTTTTTTATAGGGTGAAAATTAGAAAAAAATCAGGATTTTGTGATTGTTATCCATAATCATTGGTAAGACTTTAGGACTTCATAAATTCTGGCAGTTTCCTTATTTCTTTTAAAAAAATACTGGCTTTAATAATAAGCACTGCTTATAAGTAAATTAGATCTTTTCTTGAGTTGTTGGTCAATATCAAGATTGCAGCTACGGAAAGGTATAAAATTACAAGGTTTGTGAACTCTGACGATAGTTACAAACAGAAAGTCTTTTATCTTTTTGAAGTTCTTTTGGAGATTTCCTTTTTCTCTTTTTCCTTTCCTGAAGGTTTTTTTCATTTTTCTGAGAACTATCAACTATGAAATATTTTAAACATAGATAAAATCATAGACAATAACATTAGAATAGTATTAGAAATATCCTTGTCTATCTATCTATCTACACATTCTCCAGATACTAACTTTTGCCAGATTTCTTCCAGTCTCCCTTTTCTTCTTCTTTAAGGACATACATTTATGGTCACATATACTATTAAAGCCCTAACTTCCTGTCTCTGCCCTTCCCACTCTCTAAGTTATCCTGAGGTTAGCATGTGGCATTTCCCTCCCTGCAAACTGTGCATCTCTAGGACACATGTATATACATGCATAACGTTTCAATACTGTTGCTCACAAAAGCTTCATAAAGTGTTTTTGTAACATTTCATATCTTTTTTATAAACAGTATGTATCCTTTTGCAACTTTCTTTTCATACAACTATATTTCTAAGACTTATCGCTGTTGATACATGTAGATTCAAATTCATTTAAGTGCAGTATAATAGTCCATTTTCATGAACAAATTGAAATGTATTTTATTTATTTCCCTGATAAAAGAGTTGTTTCCATTCTCTGTATCAAATAGTGCTGTAATGACTATTCTGGTACATGTGTACATACACACATAGACAAGGGTTTCTCTAGAGTAGGCATCTGGACAGGGAACTGCTGAGTCACAGTTATGTGCATCTTCGAATTTACTAGCTATTGCTGAGATGCTCTCCAAAGGGACTGTATCATTTTACACTCTTGCCAACTAGGTATGGGAGTCACCATTTCCCACAATTATCAGACTTTAAACATTTCTGTCAATCTGATGGATGTGAAATAATGTATGATTGTTATTTAAATCTGTATTTCCTTTGAATTGAACACACAGTAAGTAATAGAATGTAATACGCCACTTTGTCATATGTAGCATTCTTATACTTAACAGAAGAAAATGTAGGATATCTTTGTGATCTAAAGGCAGAGAAGGACTTCTTAAACAAAACTTCCAAAGCACAAATCATAAGGAAAACAGTGATAAATCAGACAAAAATTATGGATTTCTGTTTAATGAAGAAACACAGGACAAAGTTATTAGGTGACAGAATAGGAGAAAATAACTATATCCAATAAGAGATTACTATTCAGCAGTTCTCAACCTGTGGGTCGTGACCCCTTTGGAGGTCGAATGACCTTTTCATAGGGGTCGCCTAAGACCATTGGAAAACAAAAAGATATTTACATTACTATTCATAACTAGCAAAATTACAGTTATAGAGTAGCAACAAAAATAATTTTATAGTTGGGGGTCACCACAACATGATGAACTGTATTTAAGGGGTCGTATTAGGAAGGTTGAGAACTGCTGATCTAGATAAATATCTATCTATCTAAGGAAGGTCTGCAAACTGAAACGTGATTGAGAACCCATTTAAAAAAAGAGAGAGAAAGCAAATGAACAGATAATTTGCAGAAGTCCAAAAAAATTAACAAGCAAATGAAAAGGTGCTCAAACTCTCTGACTACCAGAGAAACTAAAATTAAAATGAGATACCACTTCTACAACCATCAGGTTGGCAAAAGTAGCTGTCATTTCCTCTGAGAAGTCTTCACTGGCCACCTTATCTAAATAAGTCATTCCTGTTATTTTCTTTAAATTCCTTATTTTTGTTTCCTTCATAACATCTCAATTTATAGTTATTTTATTTGTTTTGACTGCCTTCCCCAATATGATACAGAGTTTATTAGGGCAGTATCATTTCAATATTGTTCATCATAGTATTTCTAGTTCCTCTGACAGTGCTTGGTACATAGTAGGTACTTAATAAATGGGTTGCTGAATGAAAAATCAAATGAATGAATGAATGTATTAATTAATTAATTAATGAAGTTATGAAAGCTAAGACAGGAAGGGTAAGCTAAGACAAAACTTAGCAGGTAAAAGGAAATCACTGAAGATTCTTAAGAGCAGAGAGACATGACCAGAGCTGTGCTTGAGAAATACTAGCATGGTAGCAACGGGCAACGTGGAGGGGAGAGAGGGAAGAAAGTGGAACAAATGAGATCAACTGCAACAGCCCAGACAGGAGCTAGTTCTGTGGGCCTACGATGAGATGATGCAGGTGAGAAGAAAGGTATTGAGAAAGCTGCTACAAAGAAAGGAGTGACTAGATGGGAGCTGTGAGAAAAAGGTGACCTCACAGTTTTGAACTCATGGTGCAGCTAAAGACAAATTATGAAGAATCTCTCTTTTAGATAGAACACAAGCACATAATTAGGTACGTTGAAATCGAGGTGAGATATTTATTGAACACCATGTCAAAGACATTATGTCTGCTTTCATGGAGCTTATGAAAAAGGAAACTATAATAGCATAATAAAGCAACGCTGGAACAGTACAGGGTGCGAGAGGAGTGGACGAGCTTGCCAGTGAAGTGTTAGATAAGCGACAAAAAAAGGATCTAACATAGAATTATTTAAAAATTGAAATTGATCTTAAATCTGTACTTCTTAGAATCAAGTGGGTAGAAGAGATATGAAAATAAAACCAATTATTCTGTTTTGTTATTCCCACCCCCACAATCTACACTTTTTTTTTTTCAAGCTAGCCAAGGTACAAATAGATTTTTTTCAAGTGTACAGTATTTGAATTCTCAATCATAAATAGATTACAATCTACAAATATTTGCTGAGTTCATATGATAAATATGAATTACTATGAAATATGCAAACTGGTCAGTTTGAATAATTTTGGTATATTGTTCACAATCAACTTTACAATATGATGAAATCCTTTTGTTTATTGTTTCATCCCTTTTTAACTAGTGGATTACAAATACCCTAATCCAAAGAAAATTTTCCCAAAGATCGACAGAAAGAAACTTTTTAAAAAATGGTATTTTACTGATCCAATTCCCTCTGAAATAACTGCAGTCATTGCGGTAGTTTTCTGGGTTCTCGTTGTCAATATTTGGGGACATACCATCATACGTTCCACTTTCTAATAACGCTCCACTCTCTTCCAGTGCTTTGAACTGCTCAACAGAAATGAAATTATAGTCCACCCCTGGTACTTCCCCATCCCTGGGGGCCCTTGTTGTGCCTAAGGGGGAAAAAAACAAGAAAAAAAGTAGGTTGTAAAGTGCTTTTTAAATTTACAGAATATTGAGAATAATAGAAAATTCAGTCTACAGAGAAACAGGCTATTAAATATATTATACCTACTAGAATGAGGATCAGAAAATTTTAGGCAAATTAATATTCCTAAGTGAAAGTAGGACAATAAATAATGCAGAATGAGTAAATATATTTTAATAACATCTACAGAGAGCTATGATATTCAAAGCTACAAAGACAAAAAAAATTTTAGTGTCAAAGAAAGCTTAACTTTCCAAGACACAACAGTTAATTCTTCTTTTACACCTTAATTATTATAACTTAACATTTGAAGAAGAGAAATCCACCAACGATAGACTTCATTTTTATGTAGTTATCATAGGTAATTTTTTCTTACCTAGAGAAAAGAAACATTGTACTTTCTAGAGTCGTGAAGGACAATAAAAGAGAAAAACAATTTTTAAAAGTTATTTTAATGAACTCTATTTTAAAAACTTGGACAAGTATTATGAAATTATTGTAGATAAATGAATAAAAGGCTATGGCTTAAGATAGGTTTTCACATATTGCTTCTTAGCCATTCTTCTCTTGAAGTAATTTTTAAAAATTTAGCAGTAAGTAAACTGTTGAATGAAATTCAATACAGCAATAGAGCACTACATTTCTATCTATCAAGGAATTCACGCTAAAATATACTGACCCTTGAGCAATACCAGGGGGATGTGGTGTTCGGGGCATGGACCCATCACACAGTTGGAAATCTGTGTATGCCTTAAAACATCCTAAAAACTTAACTACAGTCATCCCTTGGTATCCATGGGGATTGGTTCCAGGATCCCCAATGGATACCAAAATCCATAGATGCTCAAGCTCCTTATATAAAATGGTTAGAACAACGCATACAGTCGGCCCTCTGTATCCGCGGACTCTCAACTGCAGATCGAAAATACTGTTTTCGAACTATAGTTGGTTGAATCCCCATTGCAAAAAACCCAGGAATACCAAAGGCTGACTGTATATTTATTAAAAAAAAAAATCTGCAAAAAAGTGGACTAACACAGTTCAAACCTGAGTTGGTCAAGGATCAACTGTAAAAATCTTTTTTTCAGATCCAAGGTATAAATTCAGGTTCTCAGCATTGTTCCATTTGATACAATTATATTGAACAAGAATTAACATTTTTATAACCTAATATTAGAAATGTCATTTCAAATGCTAGGGAATATAAAAAAGAGATCAAGGTATTGAGCCTGGAACAAGAGTTGGGATTGTAGCAAATCTTGCCCCAGGAGGTCCCCCAAACCTGTTCCTCCACTTACCCTCCCTATTCATTAATGGCGCTCCAAGCTAGAAACCTGAGGGTCATCTGGGGTTCCTCCATCCACATCCAGTCACCAGATCTGGTTGATTCTTTCTCCTGAATACCTCTAGGAGTTATATACTTTTCTTCATTCTCATACTCACCTAATTCATATCATTATTGTGGCCTACATTGTTGGTCTCCTAGGGTCAACCCTTTCTTCTCCCTGGCTACACCCCTTCCCCAACTTGCAGCCAATGATGTTTCTGAAACCATCTGAGCAAAAAACTCTAAACCCATCAATAGTTTCCCATGATCCTTGCCATAAAATCCAGACTCTGCCTCTCCAGCGCCTCTCTTGCCTCACGTCTTTCACATTCTAGACTTTAGCCATAATACATGTTTTTTCAATTCCTTGCACTCACTTACCTCCAGGGCCTTTGATCAAGCCATTCCTTTCCCTGGGAGACTTCCGATTCCCTTTCCCACACTTACCTCAGCTGACTCTTACTCACTCTTCAAGGCCTGGCTTAGAAAGTTTCTTTAGAGAACCTTCCCTGAGTCCCATCTAGGGTATGTGGGGACCATGATGACTTGGTTCAGAGTAATAGTCCCAAGTCTTGGCACAGTGTGAGGACAGGAGTAGGTACTCCATATAGATAATTGTTAAATAAAGTGAAATTTTACACAAATGTAATTAGCACAGTGCCTGGCAATACACTATTATTATAAATTAATTCATGGGAAACCATTAATTGCGTATACTTTTTAGTTGTATTATAATCTATTACATGCTGTAACATGTGAAAAAAATCCACAAAGATGATGATAAAACATTAATGGTAATGATACCAGAAAGTAATGATTAAGCCAACATTCTAAGCAACAAAGATTGTATTCAATAACTTTTTCCCCTTGTTTTTTATAAAAATGTTTATAGAAATGAACATTTATTTATCTGTTTCACATCACAGAAGGTACAAAATCTGGAAAGCATAACTTCCTTTTTCTTAATATAATACATTTTTTTCAAATTTTTGTTTCTCATATGTTGACTAAAACTGTATTGCTAGATTCCCCCAAATAAACAGCTTTTAGCTCCATAGTAAGTAAACATTGACATTAGAAAACAAATTCAGTGATTAAATTTAAAATGTATAATTACCTGTGATAGACGGAAAAACATGGCCACAATATTTTGCACCTCCTTCTATCAGGAGATGGGGTCTGTTGTCTCACCTCTTGAATTTGGACTGGATTTGTGACTTGCTTTGAATAATGTAATATGGAAGACGTGATGTTGTTCAAGTTCAGAAGTCTAGACTTCCCATCTTTACCTTCTTGGAATGCTCTCACCTCCATGTCTGGAAGCCCAGGCTAGACTACTGAATGGAGATCCCCAGCCAGCAAACAGCACTGAGGCCCAGACATGTGAAGGTGGACATCTTGGCCCCTGCAACCCAGTTGTGCTGCCAATGACTGTAGCCACATGAATGGTCCCAATTGAGCTCAACTAACTCATGGAATCATGAGAAACAATACATAATTGTTATTTTAAGCCATGAAGTTCTGGGGTGGTCTGTTATGTAGCAAAGGCTAATTGAAATATTATCCAAATAAACTCTACTATAAAATATAATGACAATATGAAACCCAATATAAGGGAAAACCATATTATAGATAATACTATAAAAAGAGTACTGACCCAAGGGACAGGAGCAACTCCATGTTTTAGTCTAGGATTACTATTAATGGTGCAGTTTTAAACAAGCACTTCATCCCTCTGGGCTTCTGTCTCTTTCTGCAAAGAGGTGTTGAGCAAGATGATGTTCATGCTTCTTTCCATTAGTCAATATGAAATGTTATGTGTGATTCCAACACACATATATCCAAGACTTATAAAGTGGCTTTAACATTAATTCTCTTTACAAATATAAGCATTAAAACCTTTCACTTCCTCCCCTCCCCAAAAAAGGTAATCCCATACACATAAAAAGTTCTCTCCCTTCTCCATCCTACCCCATTGCCTTCAGCGTTCCAGAAATTTTATCTTTATATTATCCTGATAGTCTATATAATTCATGGAGAGCTTTCCAAAAATAACAGAGATTATGGAGAAAATGGGATCAGGGCTGATCGCTCAAAACCTATTGCAACTTTGTAACACTACCAAATCAATACCAATCCTAATGAAAAATATTAATACAGTTTGAAAGACATGTTAAATTTCTAATCATAAATACTACAGTAAATAAAATACTTTGTCTTTTAAAACAGGAAAAAAAATTAAAAGGTACCTTGACAGAAAGGGGTACAAAAAAAGGTTGAGGCTATACAAGAAGGATTGAGGTTAATGAATAACGAAGATAAAGCAAAATGTACAATAACAAATTTTAAGGTAAAGCACATGTTCAAATTGTGAAAAGAGGCCAAACTGAGGTGAATGGGCATCCTGTATAGTACATGCTACATTTAGCCATGTTTGAATATCCTTTGTTTACTCGTTGCTACTCGATCATGCAAAACATTAGCTTGTTGGGGTGAACGGAATAAGGACCAGTGTTACCTCAGTTAAACTGACATCATTCTCCTACTTATTTACCAATCACATAGGAACTTATTTGCATCCTAGAAACAAAGGTTGTAGCAGAACAGACAGTAACTTCTCCTACTCTGTACTTTTCACCTTTTTTTTTAATGCTCTTTTGACAATAGAAGTTTTTCATTTTAATGTATTCAAGTTTATCAATCCTTTCCTTTCTATCTATTGCATTGCGTGTCTTGAAGAAATCTTTCCCAAGACCATCTGGATAGTCTATACTCTTTTATAAAACCATTACAGCTTTGCTTTTCATACCTAGTACTTTAATGAACTAAAACAGATTTTGGGGCAGGGAACTGATGGGAGGTAGTAGTTCACGTTTCTTTTTTACCAAATGGCCACTCAGCATGACTTATTGAAACAGCAATTATTTAACCCTTGATCAGCCACAGCACTTCTGTCATAGAAATCTTATATAGAATGTCTGTGTAGGGCTGGGTGCCTGTTACAGGGCTATTACATCCCATTTATCCACTGACCCTCCCTGCACCATTATCACAGTGTTGTAATTATTATATCTTTCACAATAAATCTTGATATAGTAGAGCAAGTCCACCTATTTTGTTTTTCTATTTATAGCCTTTCCACATAAATTCTGGAATCAGATGAACAGGCTAAAAATGCTGGAAATGGGCTGGCCGAGTGGCTCAGTTGGTTCAGAGTTGGCTTAAGAGCATGAGCTCTGAGCAACAGGGCCCCCGGTTCGATTCCCACATGGGCCAGTGACACTGCGCCTGAGCTGAGCTGTCACTGAGCTGCCAACAGGTGGCAGAATGGCTCAGCTGGTAGAATAAAAAGATTGCCTGTTCGATGGTGGTCTATGCCCACCCGCAACTAAGACTGAACTCAGCACCTTGAGCTGAGCTGCCGCCCGGATGGCTCAGTGGATAGAGCGTGTGCTCTTAACAACAAGGCTGCTGGTTCGACTGCCGCATGGGATGGTGGGTATGCCCACCCGCAACTAAGATTGAACACAGCACTTTGAGCTTAGAGGCCACAAGGTGCTGACAGGAAGCCAGATGGTGATTGGCGCCCTCTACAACAAAGATTGAAGAACAACAACTTTTCTGGTCCCCTTCCCCAA